GCCCAGCAGGGCGGCGGCCAGCGCCTGCTCCTCGCCCTTCCCTACAGGGACGAGTCCAGTCAGCCACGCACCGGGGCCAGCACCCGGCCACTTCAGGTCCCCACGTGCCCCACATCCAACCTTTCTTGAGGCACTTTTCCAAGGCGTCGGCCAGTGTGAGGCTGCGCTCCAGCAGGAAGTCGGGGAGCAGGCGGGACGCCAGGGCCAGGCGCAAGTTCTCAAGAGCACCTTGCCGGGTCTTGGCACTGGGGGATGAAGAAGGGTGTCCTTGGGCCAGCCCGACCTGGGCCACATCAGCCAGGGGCTGGGCAGGGACATGGGAGCCGGGCTGGCGGGCAGCCAGGGTACCTCTTATCTGTGAGGCAGTCCACATACTCCTTCAGCTTCTCCTCAAGGTCCTCCTGCTGGCTCTGCTCGTCCACAGCATCCCCCCCTGCAAGGCCAGCTGGTCAGCCCTGCGTCTTGCCCTGGCCCCGGAGGCCCCACCGAGTCCCTGCCAAACCCCCACGCGCTCTCACCCAGGCTGTCCTCCGCCGCGGTGCTGAGAAGGCTGGGGCAGTCGCTGGTGGTGCTGCGGGCCTCACTGGCCGCCTCGTCCTCACTGGAACCCGAGTCAGCCTGGGCGCTGCTCTGAGCGCCTGGGGAGGGTGGAACGGGCCATTTGGCCTGCCTCCATGGGTGAGTGATGGCTGGGGTGCCTCACCCAGCCTCATGGCCCCCTGAGACAGGATGCTGCCCCTCTCAAAGATGAGAAAACCAAGGCTGAGGTGAGAGGCACAGGGGCTGAGCCAGGAAGCAGGAGAAAGGGAGTGAGGTCTACCAGGCCCAGCCTAGGAGCCCCTGAAGAGCCGACCCAAGGCCAGAGCCTTACAGAGACCGCAAGCCAGGTGGAGGCAGAAGGGGCCATACAGGCCCCAGGGAGCCTGGGGCCCAGCCTGAGGTGGGAGCATCCCTAGGCTCCCCTGGGGGAGCTGTCACCCGCCCAGATTATGCCCCCAAAAGGCCAGAGCAAGAGTCAGGGCCTTGGGTTACAGAATGAGACAGACCCAGGGTTCAAATCCCAGCTGCACCTCTGAACAGGGGTGCAACCAGGTCAGGGCAAGTGAAGACAACGACTAAGTAAGTGACTAGTTAAGGCGCTTCTGTGAGCCACAAGCTCACCCCTCACCCACCGGCCCTGGGGGCAGAGCCCAGGTCCCAGGGGTGTGGGTGGGTGCCCAGGCTTCCAGCGCACTGCCTTCTGAGCTCCCCTGGGTCCATCCCAGGCCTTCAGCCCTGGGCGGGTGAACACAGAGGTTCCTCCTGCCCTGGGAGATGCAGAAAGTGAGTGGCCCCTGACTGCAGGAGCCCCTGAAAACACTAGCTCGGGAGCATCCCACTCAGCAGAACTGAACACTCGTGTGTGTGGGTTCTGCGCTGGCCAGGGCGGTGGTCACAGCCGAGCCCCAAGCGGGTCTGGTCATCAGGCTGGTCCTACCTCTCAGGAACCACGTTCTCCATGTGCCTGGGGACAAAGTCCAACCCCCACGCAGGCCTCTGCTCATCTCCTCTCACTCCCACCAGCCAGGCAGCCCAGCCTCCCCTCGGGTGCTCCACTGTGCCCCGGCCGCCCCAGAGGCCAGGCCTCTGCACAACTGCCCCCTCCCCATGGCTCTCTCTCCTTCCCCTTCTCAGGGCTCCCCCAGAAACCCCCAACTCGCGGCTTCCTTGGTTGCCTACCTCTGGGGCTGACACACTCCGTGAGCTTCCCCCACAACCAGCCATTCTGGAATATCACGACCCTCTTATATGCTCTCCCACCCAAGCCCGGGTCTCTGCTGTGCCTAGCGGGCACCCCACCCCACCCCACCCCTGCAAGCTAACATGTGTTTACTGCACCAGGACACTCTCCTGGTCCCCGCTGATAAGCTCCCAGGGCTGCCTCGGGCCCCAGGGCTCCCACCCGCCGTCTAGGGCCAGGTCCACCGAGGCCCCGGTCCCCTAACTCCCCATCGCCCCCTACCTCCCTCCCTCCCTCGGTTCTCCCCCAGGCCTCCCACCAACTTTCTAGTCCAGTCCAAGAAAGGGCCAGGGACTGGAGAGGGGCGAGCTTCCTTCTCTGTCCTGCGGGTGTGGCTGACAAAGCAGGCAGCTAGGGCGAGGGAGCAATGGGGAAACCGAGTCAGGAGGTGCCCACCGCGTTAGCGTCGGGAGCGCAGGCTCCAGACGGAGCTGCGCGCTCAGGTGGGGCACACACGTGGCCGCCGTGTCCTGGGGCTCCTGCG